AAATCGGCCGGCTAAGTCGGTGCCCCCTCAGAAGATGGCGCCCTAGACCAGCTTCACCGCCGGTGCCCCCTGTCTGAGACAAAGTGAAATCGGCCGGCTAAGTCAGCGCCCCCTCAGAAGATGGTGCCCTAGACCAGCTTCACCACTGACGCCCCCTGTCTGAGACAGAGTGAAATCGGCCGGCTAAATCTGCACATTTAGAGGATTTAGAGGCACGTATACTGTACACCCACCTTTAATATTATGGCTCATTTAATTTCAGCAGCTGATCCTGAGAGATGGTGATGGATTTCAGTCAGGATGTGGAAGATGAGATGCCCTGTGTACAGTCAGAGTCTGGGAGGCCGTTAAAGGCGGAATGAGAAAGGGGTGTAAACCTCAATACATGAAGAGCACAGAGAGATGACCTGGGGGACCCAAGGCAGATTTTGATCATAAATGTCCACTTATTCAAGTTTTTAAAACACAGCTGGGGATTTCCATTATAGCATGCAGGAAATGTAATGTAATGCAGGAGAGGAGGAATCCCAATGATCCAAACTGCTGCCCAAAACATTTAGTCTTTCACAGAATATAAACTCACTCGTAATTTCTGACTGTCACCTTTTTTTCTACCAGCTTTCACCTGTCTCTCCACATTTACTGGCTTTATTCACGGCTTTAACATTTCCAGCGATTCAATTACATCTATTATTTATGTCTGACCTCAGACTATTGGTGGATTTAATCATTGAGCCAAATCAGGTGCTTTACATAGATAAGGCAAAGCCTCCATACACTTTTGTAGCATCGGTTCCATCTGAAAAGAAAGACATTTTTTCAGTCTCCCCTGGGTCCTATTACACAATACTCAGGCCATAATGACATGTCCAATGAATGCACATTCCTGTACATGTTGACTGTGTCATCTAAGGCCAAAGTCCACAAATATTTATACGCTGATTATATAAATTCAATTCATTCAGTCTGTCGTTTGATGTTGGAAACAATTAAAACAGCAGGAGAACAAATGAAAATGAATTGCATCTTTCAGCACAATTAACAAAAAGCCCTCTCTCAGGATATTCTCTGTGCAAGACTTTAAAGGTCATGGGAGCCATCTTTGATGTTTCTGTGAATGGAAGCGTATGATGTCATATTTCTTTACAACTCTTCGGGACTACTGGAACATAACTTTAATTCAGAAATACTGTCACAACCAGGTGAGCTAGGACCAGGGAAGCGGGAGAAGGAGATGAGGGCTTGGGTAAAAAGGGTTTTAATGGGCACATGGAAAGGCATACAAGACAAGACCATCGTAACAATACAATGACAGGTCTAGGGAAACATACTCTAATGTGGACTTAAATACACCAAACTAATGAAAACAACTCGAAACAGCTGGTAAACACGGGGAATCCACACGAGGTTAACGAGGGGGCGTGGCACACAGCAGGATCGGATGTGAGAAATACAGTTGAATCAGAGGGAAGGGAAGAATTAAACGTCGCCTGTTTTCAGGGCCAAAACTCTGGAGTTAGTAAATGAAATTTGCATAATGGGGGTAATAAAGTTAATCTTAATATTCATCTTAATATCGGCAGTCACTCAAATCAGGGGTCCCGGTTAAAACGAAAGCTCCGGGGAGTGTGATAGATCCGTGAACCCGTACGTACATCGATCCACACGGTGCTACACTGACATTGTTAATCTAACCCGAGTCACGGCACATTAACAGTGTACAGCGCTACACTTACATTGTTAATCTACACTAACAGTGCACATTTCACTTCTCCATAACTCACACATAAAAAGACAAAACACTTGGCGTTAAAGTGACATTGAATATTTCTGCTGTGCGAATTCGCATCAGACGCGCAGATAAACAAAGCGCTGTCCCTGAACATAATCTGAAACAACAACAACAATAACATCATCAGCAACAACAACAACAACAATAATAATAATAATAATAAACGGCATATGACTCCGTTGTTACAGGAAAACAGAGGAGTTTCAGCTGCGGCTCTCACACTGGGCACATCGGCGTCCAGCTGCGGCCTCCTCACCCGGAAGAGGGGAGCTAACTGATCACGCACGTGGGAAACAAGGCTCCTCACCAAATGCAGTTACACAAAAACGGAGCAGTGAAACGGCGAGACGATGAGAGGAGCAGCGGCTCCGCCAGCGACCCCCACCCTGTGTTCCTTAGAGATCACCCCCCCCCATCCAGTCACGCTCACGCTATTTCTCCACCGCCACAGACCCGCGTTATTTTATCTTCATTCTTGGTTTCTTTCTTTCGCTCCTATGCATGTTACAGCAAAAGTGCGTCACTTGGCATCTCTGTCATACTTATATCTAAAGCTCTGTAGTGTGAACAATGCTTATTATCTCCATATTTTATTATGAATATATCGGAAATGCATGAATCTGGTGGAACTGGTAAATTTTGGTCCCTAATTATTATGTCTCTATCTTATTTTATTGTTTAATAAATTACTGTATATAGAGTAGGAAAAATCGAAACTGCCTTTTGATTTTTGCAACATGCACATTTTGTCATTTACAGCAAGCGCGTTCATGTTGACACTGCGGGATTTTACGGCTCCTGCCATAAATAACAGAATAAAAGCGGCTTAGGAAACGCTGCAGCCCACATGAAGGACGGACACGATGGGGAAATTAAAAGGGACATTTCTCTATAATTAAATTCTGTTCCTGGATATTAATCTGCCTGTACACGTTTCTTTTTCATCTTCGGGGTAAATATCCCAGACGTTTTGCAAAAAATTGATTTTAAGGGCTGTTATGCGGATGGTTTTATTTGTATCTTTCTTTTTAAGCAGTATATAGACACGGTGGAACCTATAACCGGAACTCGGCGAGTCCAATAAGATAATAAGTAAGAGAGTACCGAGGCAAAATTATTTATGAAACGTTATTTTAAAAACGTTAGTAAACGGAATTAAAACGCCAGTACTTTCACGGAACACAAAAGTTGAAGTTCGGTGAAACAACTGAAATTAACAACTATAACTGTGATATCCCCTAGTTGACTTACCTTTCGATTTCCCCGAGAGAAGATCAAAAATATCTTGCACGGAATTATTAAATGAATTATTAGGTACTCAGTTATAAAGAGTAAAACTTTTGAAGCGTCACGTCAGTGGAAACACAACAGTCACTCTCGGTTTTAATAGATTCACTATAACAATCTTCTTTTTAATTAAGGGATTTTCAAATCTATGCAGTAGCTTCGTGAACACGAATTCAACTCACAATGAAACACATTTTTACGGAATAAACATCTGTTTTTGCTTGTTTTCTTCACACCCCTGGTTTTGGTGACATCCCTTGTTTTCTGGTCATCCCTCGTCATTACCTGAAATCGGTTTTGTTTAGTTTTGTATCATCACAATAGGAGGCTAAACCATTTAACCTTTTTGCCACCTTTCATTGAGCACCATATTAAAATTAAATATTAAACATTTTATAGACGATACTTTTTATAGGCTATAAGATATAAAATAATTGCAAAATAATAGATAATGGAATATGATTAAATCGATTCTCTCCCGCAATAACGTCGTGTATTTATAGTGGTCGTTTTAAATATTATCCAGTGATCGAGATCTTTTTTTTTTCTTATTTCGTCTTCTGTCGTGCTAAGCATTTTTTCATTAAAATGAAAACTTTGCTCCACGTTCCTGGGAATATGTTGCTGTTATAACGCATGACTGCAGGTGTATTTTGAAGAAATAATAATACTGAGAAAAGCGATGCCAAAAAGAGAAATAATCTCTTAGCCGGAATCGGCTATTCTGCACCCGCAGTTCTCTGATCGTAGGTATTGGCGGTTTATTTGTTTTCGAAACATGACAAAGAATTCAGCTTGAAAAAAAAAGTTTTATAATCTTGCATGAGAAAAAAATGAGCATTTACAAATTCCAGATTATAAGATCAATGTCTTGCTAATTAAGTTAAAATGCCATTACTGTTTTGATTTGACAATGACAACAGACGCGAGATATTGACATGCACATTTGTAACGTACCCAAGGCTTCACAATTACTTTGTAATTTAGCTCGCTACTTTTCCTGCGATTTATAGTTTATTCCCGCTATATCTACCCCCGTCAGTCAGAGGGGCGGCCGGTGATGCATCCTCACCCGGCAGTCATGGATAGGTATGGAGGGGAGGGGTGGAGAGGTGTGGAGAGGAGGGGCGGGGAGTTACTTCACGGAGCCCTAAACACTACATCCCCTTATTACTACCGGAGCCGGGCTCCCTTTCGGAGCAGTTCTCTTCTTTGTCTTTAGTGAAATTGTTTCGCGTTTTTATCATGCTGGAGACGTACCGTCAAAGCAGATAAATACCCGATCTGGCGCCTGGGGGGAGCGACTTGTGCGGTGACCCGCTTCATAGGAATCCGCGGTCCGCATCAGGAGGTCCATCCAGGAGCAGCGCGGGAAGCTCAAAAAGATTAATTTCATAGTTTGTTTGTGCCTTTTTTCGAATGACTATTTTAAGACTCATGTTGAGCGAGTTTTCATGGTGAGATGCGGCGTCTGTAAAGTAACGGCACACTGGAAATGAAGCACAAATCAAACGGTGGAAGCACCGAGTCTGTCTTTAGGACCTTCAGCCCGTCCTGAGCATATTTACCAGCATCCACAAGTTTAAAGTGCAGCTGAGGTACGCGGCTTCCCCTCTTTTTCGGTACATTTGTTTTAGCTCTCAAAGCGCTGAGCGTGGGACTCGCCTGCAAACCAGCCCGAAATGCCGCACTTAGCGGGTGGAGGCGCCGGGGACCCCGAGCTCTGTGCCAACGATGAGATGATCCCCTTCAAAGACGAGGGCGACCCGCAGAAAGTGCAGATCTTCTCGGAAAGCGATAACCCGGAGGAAGAAGGCGATCTGGCCGACATCAAGTCATCGTTAGTAAACGAGTCGGAGACAAACCCCGACAGCCACGACGTGAGTCTGTCCCGTTATTTATGGTTTATATGCAAGTAGGCCAAAAACATCTACCGATTACAGTACAGTAATATGTTAATGAACCACTGATATCATTCTACATTTTCTTATAGAAAAACTGTTTAATTGTATATCTCATGTGTACATTACACGGTCTACTGACTGAACTGATATTTAAAAAACACTGAAAATATAAAACAAAGCTGTCGTGTTTTTCTCATTCCAAATAGCTGACAATTATTAGTTTGTTCATTTAAATGTAATTTTCTTATTCATGTTTATGGGTGGACCTGTTTTCACAGGCTAAACGGAGCTTCAAATATTTTGTGTGATCAATTACTTAAAATATTTTAAATTGATTCAGCATTTCCAGCACAGTTTTTTTCAGTGCCGTTTTACATTACACTCATACAAAGTGTAAAATGGGGCTTACTTTAATTGTTGTCATCCTGAGCTACACACACACACACACACACACACACACACATACGCAGAGAGAGAGAGAGAGAGAGACCTGTGATCATATCTTTGTGGTGACTGTCTATTCATTTGTATTTAAAACCCTAATCCCATCAATGACACCCTTAACCCCTACCCAGCCCTAACCTTAACCACAAGTAACCAAACAAAATACTTTTGGCATTTTCGTTTTTTGATTGCAGTCACAGATTTCTATGAAACTGAATTTCCGTTTGTGGGGAACGAAAAAAAGGTCCCCACAAGGTCAAAATAACAGGGTTTTTTTTTATCACATTGTGGGGACCAAATGTTATGTACATCTGACCACCCCCCTCCCCCCAACAGACACACATATATGCACACATACACACTGATACACACACCGAAGCATGCACACACATACAGACACATGCACACACAGAATCACACACACTGAGACGCACATACTCACACATGCATGCACAAGTTAAAAATAAAAAACAACTAACAAACCATCATTTTATGTTTTACTTTAGTTTTGTGGTGACCGAAATTCAAGTCATACACTGCAAGTATTTTATGTATTTTGTGTATTAGTATTAAATAATTCCATAATTTATATGGAAAAACCTTAAATTCGTTTGTATGTGCTGATATTTTTCCATTATGTATTTATCTGAATTTGTATCATTTACTTTATTTTCATATTTACATTATTTCTAATAAACGTCTTTTCATTTTTTTTTTATTTAACTGTAGCAGATATTTACAGTTGAAAACAGGAAAAGCATCACCCCCATTGCTTTGGCGGGATGTGGGGTTTACATTTATTGGATTTGACATAAAAATCTCCCCTATATTCTGTAGTTTTCCTGCCTCCCACCAAAAACTGACTGCTGTTAATGTTTCCTATCAGGCAGCTAGAACCCAAGACCCTTTCCATGAGGACCCCAGAGCATGTGGCGATGAAGGTGGGTGCAGAGGATGGAGCATCAGTCCACCTGGGCTCTAGTGGGGGGGGGGGTATAGGATTTGTGGGAGCCTCCTTAGTGCTGCGTGACAGCGAGTTCATGGAGCTGGTAGAACACCAGGTCTGGCCATTAAATAATAAAGGAACATTCCAGACTACATTATCACAGCAGCATTTCAACTCCAGTAATAGCAAGGGCAGTATTAGTGAGGGCAGTATTACTAAGGGCAGTATTACTGAGGGGAGTATTACTAAGGGCAGTATTACTAAGGGCAGTATTACTGAGAGGATTATTACTAAGGGCAGTATTACTGAGGGGAGTATTACTAAGGGCAGTATTACCGAGGGGAGTATTACTAAGGGCAGTATTACCAAGCATCTGATTCATAAATTAAATGTGCCACTATTCAAAAAGTGCGGATTTGTTATTTTGATGATCACATTGATTGACATTCCCTGTTATTCCTGCTGTTGGGCAATCTTTCGGTAAACTTTAACGAGAGCATCGTCGGTAGGTTGCCACTGATCTGGTTGTGGTTTCTTCACCACGAAAGCTCTTCAGGCAGGGTATCAAGATCACCTGAAGCACCTTCCAAAGTGCAGTATGACTTACAAAGGCTCAGCTGTCCGTCTCCCTGGGGAGCTACAGGCATCCTTAAGGCGCGTCTATCCTGGAGCTGGACAGAAACTCAGGGTGGGGTGTGTGTGTGTGTGTGGGGGTGTGTGTGTGTGTGTGTGTGGGGGGGGGGGTCTGGCTGCTGTCAGGCTATTGTTCTTCCTTGAGGAGCCCTGGAGCTCTGAGTGCCAGCTGAGATGATCGTCCTCACGATGAGGCCACTGACAGCCTCCCCTTTGTCCTCCGCCCTGCAGCATGCCTGAGTTCACATGTAGCTGTGCTGTATTTCAGTCAGACCGCATGAACAGGGCAGCGTTCAGCTGCTAGACACCAGTAAACCATCTGACATATATCTGTTAATATTATCTGTTATCATATCTGTTCAAAATGTTTTTATTTATTATTTTTTTAAAATGTCCACCGATTCCACGGGTACAGGCTACGTGTGGGTAGAGGGTGTGTGCGGGTACAGGCTACGTGTGGGTAGAGGGTGTGTGCGGGTACAGGCTACGTGTGGGTATAGGATGTGTGCGGGTACAGTGGTCTCACAGGGATGTCACACATGTTTGCCACTTGCAGGAAAGCATTATGATGTGTACAAAGGACACTCGTACCCGGGCTACCCTGGCCTCTCCATGATGGACTCCTACCTGAACAGCGGCTCCCTTTCCTCGCCCATGCAGAGACCCGTGAGTATCCCGGGTTCAAGGCCAGCGCAGTGTTAGCGGCCCTGAAATGGATATGATCCGTGGGTCATTTTCTGTGCTCAACCCTATGATGTTATTTTAAAATAATGCAGGGGGTTTGTGGCTGACTGGCAGCTCTGGGATCAGTGACAGTGCAGGGGGCAGGTGTCTCTGAGGTCAGGCCCTTTACTCCTTTGGAATGACCGTGCTTCCTCCTGTATGGCTTCACTTTGTTTACGTGATCCCAGCAGACGAAGGCTGATGCACGTTCAGGGCCCTGGCAGCTGGCAGCCATAATCCCGCTTTGTTCCTTTTGTGCTGGAGAGACACCCCTGATTTGCATAGCTTTGGTGCAGAGACACGCGGTCTGTGCTCACTCTGTCAGGAGATGCTTCTCCTGCTCCTTTCATAGACTGCGTCTCTATAAGGATCTGATCCCTTATGCTCATTGGCGTCTGGTCAGTCAGCAGACACTCGACAAACCTTTTGCTCCCCAGAGCTCCTGCTTTCCAGGCCCTTTTCCAGGACGTTTTTTCCCTGGATATTCTCCCACTTTCTGGTCCCTTTTCATTCTGGAGTTTCTCCCAATTTTTGGTTCCTTTTCTCCCTGGATCTTCTCCCAATTTCTGGTCCCTTTCTCCTCCCTGGATCTTCTCCCACTTTTTGGTCTCATTTTCCCTGGACCTTCTCCCGCTTTTCATTCCCTTTTCACCCTGGATCTTCTCCCAATTTCTGGTCCTTTTCTCCTCCCTGGATCTTCTCCCACTTTTTGGTCTCATTTTCCCCGGACCTTCTCCCGCTTTCCATTCCCTTTTCTCCCTGGCTCTGCTCCTACTTTCTGGTGCCTGTCCTCCCTGGAGTTTGTCCTGTTTTCCAGGTCATTTTCTTTCCAAAGCTTATCCCACTCTCCGATCCCTTCCCTCTTGAGTTTATGACTAGTCTGTGCTGACTTATGGTTTTGTTGGGATGACACCATAACTCAGGTTCATTTTGCATGATGCAGTTTGGTTTAATGTGTGTGGGGGGCTTTGGCAGAGGTCTTGTGGGTAGTACTCCCAGAGCCTTGGTTTATGTGTGCAGCAGGCGGAAACAGTCCACATATCTTCCCAGGGGATAGGTCTGCCCAGAGGATAGGTCTACCCAGGGGATAGGTCTGCCCAGGGGATAGGTCTGCCCAGAGGATAGGTCTGCCCAGAGGATAGGTCTGCCCAGGGGATAGGTCTGCCCAGAGGATAGGTCTGCCCAGAGGATAGGTCTGCCCAGAGGATAGGTCTGCCAAGCGGATAGGTCTGCCCAGGGGATAGGTCCCCAGATATGTCTGGGATATGTAAAAGACAATATCTGTGAATTCCAGGCAGTCAGGGAACTGCTTTCTGGCGTGTTACAAAGCAAATTGAGAAGGTGTATATGTGGAACATTCTTCTTTACTAAACTTTATTCTCTGCAACACGAAAGGTGAAATAGAATTCAATTTTGAAATGCTCAGCTCATCCCACTTGAAAGGTTGGGTTCTACTTTTTACGATTGGCTATGGCCACACTGTGACTGTTTGGGGATTCCCCCGGCCCGTGTGCTGATGTGCCGGGCCTGCACAGCTCATGGGCGGCCGGGTCAGGTGGCCTCCTCTGTGCTTTGATGTGGATCTCATGGTATCTGCTCTTGACTGGGCCTGCAGACAGGGATTTTCAGGGCTCAACGTTTGCTCGGTGGCTCTGATGGATGGAGGGGACCCTGCACACTCCCCAGATGCCCAGCACAGTGCCCATGTCACACTGGGAGGTGGCTGCCACAGTTTGTGTGGTTTTAGGTGTGACACATTCCCGAGCTTCAGCCACCAGTAGTGTGAGCTTGTTTTGTTGTGTGACATCCCAGCATCACTTGGGATTGTGCTTCGGAGAGACTGAGCACCATTTCTGGCCGATGGGGGTAACCTCAAATATTTACATGCATATTACTGTCTTATCCAAGCAGTGACTGTGAGCCCTCCTTGGTGTGGTGGGTTTGAGGGTCATACAGGTGCCTGTTAGTTATTAGTGAGCTTCGTCCTCATCTCTGTGATGGCACTATATCCCCCCTCCAGAATGTCGTGGCGTTGGCCTCCAGTGTTTAGGACAACGTACAGAGCCAGAGGACAGGCTGACCCAAAGTATCTGGAGCCCCACTGAGCTTCAACTGTACATTCAGCGAGAATGGCTCTGCAAATCCACGGAGGTCACAGTTTGAAGTCCACACTCGCAGCCAGGGCCGTGAGATGTGCCATCGTTGGCCTGACTGGGGCTTCCGGAGGTGGCACTCAGTCTGAAGATGTGAATGTTTGATGATTGACAGCAGGAGTGGCTCTTCTCTAGATGCTCCTTCTTCAGCTTGAATAACTGATGTCAGCCCTGGACGTCTGGCCTCATAAAGAAGCCCTGCAAATGTTTGGGGAGAACAGAGATGATCATCCATCTGATAAGTGAGACCGGGGGCCTGTACTATGAAGCGGGGTAACTGGCTTATCGGAGTAACTTGTCGGATTTAAGGTAGTCTGGGCAAAATGTAAGTAAACGAATATTAAGTTCATTTAAACTGTGGAACCTTAAATCCGACAAGTTACCCCGATAAGCCAGTAACCCTGCTTCGTAATACAGGCCACTGTTCTGTGTGAGGGCTTGTATTTTATTGTGGATTGTATATTACTTGCAGCTATAAAATGAAATGCACAAAAACATACGCAGCGTTTAGTAAACATCAGATGTCAACAGCTGATTTGCATGCAGTCGTGGATGATGCCTTCCACAAGCCACAAGGGCAGGAGATGTGTGGTCAGAAGTCACTCAGAGAGGTATAGGTTCTTAGAGGAGGTAGCTGATCACAGCTGGGGCTCCAGCCCTGACTGAATCACAGCAGATGCTTGATAAGATGATCTTAACCATTCCTCTCCGGGTCACCTACATGAGAGGGGTTTCCAGAATGCACAGAGCTCTGCAAGACTGTATCTGCTTTCACTGTAACCCTAACTGTGACCATAACGGATAACCTGAACCGTTACTCAAACCCTAACCCAAAACCATAACCCAAACCTCAAACTGGAACCCAAAGTCGACTTGAAGGCAGAACTGCACTCCGAGGCCATGAAATAGAGACAGTTGTGTTGAGACATTCTTGTCAGTTGACGCCTTGTTACAAAGTGAAAATGCAGACATGCGAGTTGTGCTCCGATCCAGCTGAGGTCCTCCATGTTCTGACAGTGGATGGTTGTTTTCATGCTTCTGAAAGCTTAAGGCTTTTCATATCAAAGGGAAGCGTCATTAATTGTCTAGAAGGGATTATTCTGAAGGTCCAGCCGACACTTTTATTCGTGTTAATGGACGGGGGGGGTCGCCGGGACGGACATAACAGTAACTCGTGTGGTCTGGAGAGCGAAAAGAAGCAGCTTTGTGTGGCTGGTTCTCATTCTCAGAAAACTCTTAAAAGTCACCCGTTCCTTTCATATCGACCTCGGGATTGAAAACAAATGGGCCATTTTCCCACTTCCTCTGAACTGCACTATTACAGAGCTGCGAAAATAAAAATCAGCCCATGCTGCTTTCTGTGGGTCTCCTGCTCTCTCTCCCTCTCACTCCTTCACTCCCTCCCTCGCCTTCTCACTTTCGTTGTTTTTTGACTGTCGTTTTTGACAAAGCAGAAGCCCGCTGATGTCAGAGTCGGTACCCAGAGCATTAAAGAAACGCAGGAAATGCAATCCAGCTGCAATCCGACATGATGCTGCAGGACAGGGTTTGGTGGAGCGACCCCCCCCCCCCATATTCCCAGGGCGTGCATGCGCTCGCGGCCTTGGCTTTGATCTCTTCAAAGCCTCCTGCCTCCTCCTAGAGGGAGAGCCTTGGCTGCTGTTCACTGGAGCTGGGGCCGGGGAGTGGGGGTAGGGGTGGGGGGAGGGAAGGAGCGAGGCTGGCCCCCCCTCCCTTTCCAGCCTGAAATCAATCACAGTGCAGAAACAATTATGTGTAATTCAGCTAGACTAGTTGGGGGGGGGGGTAAGTTACCTGAGAGATAACAATGGGTACATAAGGAGATGCGGGGGGGTGGGGGGTGGTTCTATCATGCATCGTCTCCTCTAAAGTGTAGAGGGGGTGTGCGGGTGCGACTATGTCATCCAGCAAATTAGAAAATCACTGTCCCTAGATTACAGTGGTGATCACCCATATATTAACCCCCTTAGCTGACATTCCTGTGCTGAAAGGTCTATATGGCTGCTGGGTGAAGATGAAGATACGTTACGTCATGTGTCAATGTACCAGAATGAAGCTGACTGTCTTTATCCCACACCCCATCCTTCACACCGACCCTCCCCTGTCTTTATCCCACACCCCATCCTTCACATTGACCCTCCCCTGTCTTTATCCCACGCCTCATCCTTCACACCGACCCTCCCCTGTCTTTATCCCACGCCCCATCCTTCACATTGACCATCCCCTGTCTTTAGCCCACGCCCCATCCTTCACATTGACCCTCCCCCGTCTTTATCCCACGCCCCATCCTTCACATTGACCCTCCCCTGTCTTTAGCCCACGCCCCATCCTTCACATTGACCCTCCCCTGTCTTTATCCCACGCCTCATCCTTCACACCGACCCTCCCCTGTCTTTATCCCACACCCCATCCTTCACATTGACCCTCCCCTGTCTTTAGCCCACGCCCCATCCTTCACACCGACCCTCCCCTGTCTTTATCCCACGCCCCATCCTTCACACCGACCCTCCTCTGTCTTTATCCCACACCCCATCCTTCACATTGACCCTCCCATCTTTATCCCACGCCCCATCCTTCACACCGACCCTCCCCTGTCTTTATCCCACGCCTCATCCTTCACACCGACCCTCCCCTGTCTTTATCCCACACCCCAACCTTCACATTGACCCTCCCCTGTCTTTATCCCACACCCCAACCTTCACACGGACCCTCCCCTGTCTTTATCCCACGCCTCATCCTTCACCTTGACCCTCCCCTGTCTTTATCCCACGCCTCATCCTTCACATTGACCCTCCCCTGTCTTTATCCCACGCCTCATCCTTCACATTGACCCTCCCCTATCTTTAGCCCACGCCTCATCCTCCACATTGACCCTCCCCTGTCTTTATCCCACGCCCCAACCTTCACATTGACCCTCCCCTGTCTTTAGTCCACGCCCCATCCTTCACACCGACCCTCCCCTGTCTTTAGCCCATGCCCCATCCTTCACATTGACAGTGGGGACCAAGTGACCTTTTCATGTTTCATAACAACAGATGACTGAGTCAGCAGATTGAGTCTGAGTTACAACATCCATTCCATCCAGTGTCCAAAAAGGAGAGAGATGCAATGGGGGGGGGGGTTTGAGCTCTGATTGGAGGTGTTCACGTCTCATGGGAATTAGCATAAGTGGAAAGTGACTCTTTTTTGAGTGGCTTGGCAGCTTCTGTGGCTCTGCGTGTCCCAGCTGCTGGTCTCCGGTTGACAGGGAAGGTGATGGTCACCACTTGATTTCACACGTGGCTCGCTTGGTCTCTTTGAAGATCTCAGTGCCACAGTGCTGTGCAGGAAAGATTCCTCGCTATAAAATACGTTGCTGTCTTTCTTTTGGTAGAACAAGATGAAGGGCTTCTGGCTTCAGACCCTCACACTGAGGCAGAGGAGAGGAGTCAGGGTTAAGGTCAGGGTTAGTAGAGCGCCTGAACCTCTACACAAAGCTTCATTTAAGGCTGATCCCCCGGGGGCTACACCCCACTCTCTTTTCCTCAGAACAGGTGCTTACGTGTTAACAAGACCTATTGTTGAGCTTCCTTTGAAAAACTCAATCGCTTGTGAGCTGAAAGGGTACTCCTTGTAAGGCATCACATGCAGAACAATACAGGCTCTCTCACAGAAGGCTGTGCCTGTTATCCTGGAGAGTCAGAAGGTAGTGGGGTAGGTTCATTAGTGCTCAACACTTGGCGTATTCTGCTATAATGCAAACGGTTTAGGGGCGTAAAGCTGAATAGAGCACTTGGCTCATGTGGGATTCCACACTCTGCAATAAAATAATTGGCTCATTTTCAACTGCTTCAGGAGTTAGGGTTCGAACCCTGGAGGTTTGGTGCCACACTGTGATATTTGATATCTGCCAACCAATCCATGACCAATACACTCAGACTCCCTGTAACAATCTGTCTTGGATCCCTTGTCTGGGTTTTATGGCATGTTTCTGGAAGTGTGATACCGTACAGATACTTGAGCCATACAGATACAGATACCCAATCCCGTACGGATACCCTATGCTGTGTGGATGCTCAGTCCCATATGCATACCCAAACCCATATTGATACCCGCACCCATACAGATACTCAATTCTGTGTGCATATGTGGTCCTATATGGATCCCAAGCCTGCATAGGTACAAAATCTCATATGGATACTTGAGCCCATTCGGATACCAGATCCCATATAGGTCCCTGATCCTGTATGGATCCCTGAACCCATATGGATACTTGATCCCATATGGATGCTTGATCTAGTATGGATACCCATCACATACAAGTGATTAACCCAAGCTGAGGGATTTCATACTATACTTTTGAAAGATGCATGGGGTGATGACATAGTTTATGTGGCAACAGAGATGTACCCCACCTGCTTGCGCCTGGTCACCAAGAACCAGCTGTGTCCCGACTCCCCGGGTTAAGGAGGATCATGACAGGGCTGTCAGGAGCTGAGTGTCTCCTCAGTGGAAGGTCATACCTCTCTTGTGTCTTTGACAGCACCCCTGTTGCTGACACGGGCTGAAGGGCTCAGGGGGGATTACCAGAGCCGGGTCCCCCAGGGGGTCCTCCAGCTCTCTGCCCCCCTCCCCGCCCCCCCATACTTAACACATGCCCCCTGCTGCCATCCCAGTAACACACCCACACCCATCATATACCCAGAGCAGGAGCAGTTCAGCTCGGTGTTTCCGCAGCCATGTCCATCACATTCATGTGAGATCATCTTAAGTTGAGCTCCATCTTTCCCGTTCACTGTATGTTTATTTACACGTGTATCCTCCCTCATTTAGCAAGACATTGCTGTGATGTAAGCAGCACTTTCCCGCTGTCTGTTGGGTAGCTCATTGCGTGGCAGCTTGTGGATTTGGACATGATCCCATCACATTCGGCCTCCCTGTTTGTGCTCCGGCTTCCCTGGATCAGACGGCACCCCCCTGGGTTTAGACTCTGGACCCTCACACGTATATTACCGCACAGGAACACGAGGGTCAATTTGATGCCTGCAGATGTCTGGAAGAGTGAGAGAGGGAATTCCAGCCAATGGTTTGTCATGCAGGAAGGGACATGAAAGAGGCATTAATAAATTCAATTAACATCCTTTAAAGATCAAGAAAGACATTTACTTTGTTTTCACATGCACTGGCATCCAAAATACATGTTGATATTTTGGGGTCCTGATTGCAGAATAGCTGTCTCCTTGATATGCCTGTCTGGCCATGATGTTCAGGGCAGAATGGGTCTCATTTTGGTATTTTGTGGTCCTGTTTGCAGAATAGCCACCTCCTGCTGTGCCTGTCTGATCATGACATTCAGGGCTGAGCGGGTCTCAAACATCCTGGCATCTTCTTGAATCTGCTAATCCCAGCAATCGGGTTCCTATGGCATCCAGCGCATAACCTGATTCGTCTGCATGGCTTCCGACTCCAGTCATACAAATCAGGAAGATGTGATATATTACTCTCCAAATCCCAATCCTGCTTTCCATTTCCTGCTCTGAAGAGTGTTGGGAATGTGGGGTAAGTTCTGGGCCAGCAGGAAGCACATATGGACAGGAGAAAATTAGGCTGGGAATTCGGATGCTTCCTAACTTGGTTTCCTCCTCAGCCACAGACCATTTCAGGGATCACCAGTTCTGATTCGTAACCAGGTGCCGTCGTGGAGCCTCAGTGAACACAGACTCAATGGACCTACATGGACCACGTGACCTACATGTTATTCCATGTGTAAATCCATGTGTGCCTGATACAGCCTGTGTTCTGCAGGAACGCTGCCTGGGCCAGCCCTGCATGAAAGATTTCCCTGACGACCTCATCTGAACCGTTTAGCTGTGCTCACCATGTTACTCCTTGATCATCAGTGATACCCATTAATGGTGCTCATCTGTCCCCCTCCCTCTTCCTCTCTTTCCCTCTGTCTCCCCCTCCCTCTCCCCATCTCTCCCTCTCTCTGTTCTTCTTCTCCTCTCTCCCACTTTTCTCTCCCCCTTTCTCTCCCTCTCTTTCCCCCACTCCCTCTATCTCTCCTTCTCTCACCCCCTCCCTCTCACCC